GGCTGGAAGGAAACCCTAGATGGGCACATGAGGGGTCTATAGCTTGGTGGTAGATGACAAAGGTCCTGGCCAGAGCCTGGATGGCACAAGTCAGATTGGCCAGATTAGGCCGGGCACTGGGTGTGGGACCCAGGCTCCATGTGGTGGTTGGGGAGTGTGTGGAGGGATGGATCAAGTGAACTGGTGAACTCGGCTGGCTAGACTCTAGGTGGGTAGAGACATTGGTTGGGTGTGGCAATTCTTATCAAAACCACATAGAAAAGTATCTAATTTTAACTAGTAGTATAGAAATATGATAAAAACAGAAGATTTGAACTAGATGTATGTGTGGTAAATTATACTCAAAGATATATTCTGTTTAATTTCTAACATGTCTTACTCTTTTTATTATTGAGACAATGATTTTTCATATGTATGGGATACAATGTACCTTTGAAATAAATATACAGTGTGAAAATTAAATCAGTAATTAGAATTTTAATCTTCTTAAGCATTTATCACTTTTTGTACATTAGGAAACTTTCAGCTCCATTCTTCACATTCATTATGAAATAAATAATAAATTATCGTAACCCTCATGCTGTACAACAATAGAAATTATTCATCCTATTTGTGACTGTGTTTTTGATATCCATTATCCAACCTTTTTCTGATAGTTTGAATAAGATGTCCTCTATAGTCTTGTGAGATTGAATACTTGATCCCAGTTTGTGGTGGTGTTTGGGAAGACTTAAGAGTTGTGTCCTTATTGGAGGAAGTATGTCACTGGAGTCAGACTTTGAAATTGTAAAGACTCACACAATTTCAAGTTTGTTTTCTCTGCTTCATTCTAGTTGTTCAAAATGTCTGGCTTTGTTCCACCATCATGGACTCTAACTTTCTGGAACCATAAGCCCCAATGCACTCTTCAAGAAGTTGCCTTTATCATAGTGTTTTGTCACAGCAATAGAAAAGTAACTATGCACTTCTTCTGTCCTGCTCCCTACAACTCTTCCTCACTTCTAGTGACTACTATTCTACATTCTTCATCTATGAGTCATTTTTAACTGCCACATGGAAACAAGAATGTATAGTACTTGGTCTTCCTAATCTTCAAACTTAATGCAGAATCTCTTTTTATACTTTATTAAATTCACCCAGATCTAACTTCATATTCCTTTCAACTTGCTCGATATCTTTAACATCTGTTCCCATGCATTTGCTCTGGGTTTATGTATTTATATTACAAAACTCAAGTAGTTCTTTTCAACTGTATTGTATATCCTCATGGGTCACACTTTGTACCTCACCTTTATGTGAATGCTGATGCTTTGGTCTAATTGTAGATCAAGAGTCAAAGAAGAGTGGGTCCTGAGGAGAGTCAGCATTGTGTTGTATGGTGGCCACTGTTTCCTGGTGCATCCCTTTATTCAGGGATGGAAAAGTTAATTCTATTGATAATAAGAGGCTGGTTTCTACTGGTAATAGTGAGGCAAAGAAGATTCAACAGGGCCAGGCGTTGGTGGCATACGTCTTTAATCCCAGCACTCGGGAGACAGAGGCAGGCGGATCTCTGTGAGTTCAAGGCCAGCCTGGTCTACAGAGTGAGTTCCAGGACAACATCCAAAGCAATACAGAGGAACCCTGTCTCGAAAAAAAACAAGAAAAAAAAGAAGTTTCAAAAGAATTTAGGAGTTTCACCAGTTCTTCTTACAGAATCCTACTGTTTCACAGTCAGTGCCTCCAGCTTATCAGTAAACCTGCTACAAGATCAGGAGTTCAACTTGCATTGTAATTTAAGTGATCTCAAGATGAAATACTGTATTTGATTTTCACTAATCCCTGTCCTGTGGCTATGAGATAAGCATCTCCTTCAGGAGAAGCATAGACGGTTTCAGATCATTTATATAATACTTGAGCAGGAAATTTGAAACCCATATTGCATTCTTTTCTTTCATTACGTTTCCAGTGCTGTTAGGAAAAACAAGCCAACCTCATTATATTTGTCAGTTTTCTTAAAATGTTCAAATATATATATATGTATATATATACATACATACTTACTTACATACATACATACATACATACATACATACATACATACATACCTGTGTCCTTGCCTCTTGTGGTTATTTAGAGCATTTCTTGGAGGTTCTTTTTTTTTTTTTTTTTTTTGGTTTTTTGAGACAGGGTTTCTCTGTATTGTTTTGGAGGCTTTCCTGGAACTCGCTCTGTAGACCAGGCTGGCCTCGAACTCACAGAGATCCACCCTCCTTTGCCTCCCGAGTGCTGGGATTAAAGGCATGGGTCACCAACGCTTGGTCTTCTTGGAGGTTCTTTACATACCTATACTGCCAGAGTATGTCATGGATTACCAGTACCCTCTTTACTACTGAAAGGTAGTAATTAATTTAATTTAATTAAGTAAATTTTAACTTTAATTTGAATAACACAAGCAACTCACTTGCAGAAAGTCAAACTGGAGACAAATTCAAAAAAATCATTAAAAATTGATTTTTTTCTAGAATCAGTCTCAGTACCGAAAGCTATGTTACTTATGGTACTTTGAGGAAAGATAACCAGTAGATTAGATAAGATAGAAAGATGACAACATTATGGATGGATGGATGGATGGATGGATGGATGGATGGATGGATGATGGGTAGGTAGGTAGGTAGATGGTAGATAATTTATTATGAGAATTTAGTTTAGGCAACTACAAAAGCTGAAAATGCCCCGGATTCACATATAAATGTTGGTAGTATAACTCTAGTTTGAGGTAAAAGGCCTAAGCATTAGGAAAATCAAGAGTGTACATTCTAGACTAAATTCAAAGCCTTGAGAACCAGAGGGCTGATGGTACAATTTTCAGTTCGAGTCTGAAGACCTGAGCAAACAGGAGTCCAAATTGCTTAAGATCTAGTTGAAGAGAAGCAGTAGACTAATGACCTAGTTAATGCAGTCAGGAAGAGAGCAGATTCTTCTTTTCTCTGCCCCCTTTTTTCCTATTAAAGTCCTCTTCAGATTAAATGAAGCCAACCCACACTGCAGATGATCTGCTTTTCTGAGTCTACCAATTCAAAGGCCACTTTCTTCTGGAAACACCCTCATTCATATAGATATAAAAGTTATCCACAGATGTGGGTATCCAATTGTCTTGGTTCATTTCTCTGTTGCTGTGATAAAACATTGACCAAAAGGTACTTGGAGAGGAAATGGTTTATTTCATCTTACACTTTTAGGTAACGTTCCACACTTAGGGAGTCAAGGCAGTGGATACCTAGTTGTCTTCTCTGTTGTGTAAATAGAACACTGAACAAAAACAACTTGGAGAGAAACAGGTTGATTTCATCTTATACTTCAAGTAACATTCTATCACTGAGGGTAGTTCAGGCAGGAACTCAAGGCAGGAATGCTGCTTACTGGATTGCTCTCCATGGCTTTCTCAGCTAGCTTTCTTTATAACTCAGGACAACCTGCCCAAGAATGGCACTATCTATAGATAGCTGGGCCCTCACACATCATAATCAATCAAGAAAATACTCCACAGACATGCCCACAGACCAATCTGATAGAGGTAATTCCTCAGTTCAGTTTCCCTCTTCTTAGTTGATTCCAGTTTATATCAAGCTGACAGAAACTAACCAGCACACCAATTGAGTTGACAAAACTAGCCGTCAAGCCATTCAAAGAGCACAGAGATGATCAATAAAGACATAAAGAACTGTAAAGGCCATAATATGGGCAAAAGGTTTCAGTTTCACAAGGGCAGAGAGATAACCAATGTCACTGGGGCATGGAGAATAGACAGTAGTACAAAGGATGTTTGAAAAGCTATGCAGAGGCCTCAAGCCATATAGAATTTAAATTTATTATTAACATCTTGAAAATTCACTGTGTCAAGTGGATAATATGGTTTGATTTACTTTTTAATAAATCATCTAGAAAGTCTGTATATTAAGTACTATATGGAAGCAACAATGAAGGAAGAATGATCAATTACAGAACTATTGCAGGCATATATTGAGAAATGATAAGCTCTTTGTCTCCCCTTCCTTCCCTCTATCTCTCCCTGCCTTCCACACATACACACAAACAGTCATTAGTAGAAATGAATGCAGGACTGTGCTGAATTTGCATCCTATTGTGTTAAATCATTTATATGTGCCCAATGCTCACTTTAGATAGAACTGTTGTATTTCTCAAATTGTCTGTACCTTTAGGTTTTAGACAATAATAATATCATTATACAATTATACATAGCAATATTGTATCAGTAAATGTGGAGAAAATTGAGAAGAAAAGAATAATAAATGCCTTTCATTTGGAAAGAAAGGAATGAGGAGGAAGATTCATTCATATATATATATATATGAACAGAACACAAATCAACAGAAAAACAACTATGCAGTCTGTATAGTTTAGGGCCCTGCTTTGATTTGCTGTGTCATGGCCTTGATCATGGCACTTGATATGGCTGTGGCACAGGTTTCTGTTTCTTTATCTCTGAGATGGAGAATTCAACAAATTGTTGTAGATAAACATCTCTTCTTTTCTCCAAATTGTTATCCTGAAAACCACATTCTTTATCATGCTACAGGAAATGTATCTATCTTATACAATCTAACCTCTGGAAATAGGAGGTAAATTCTTATTTTCAGAAAGGAAACTTGGAATAAACAGACTAAATGAGTTTCCAAATCACTGAAACACTTGATAGTAGTTAGTTTATAATACAAATCTTTGTGGTCAGTTATTCAAATATGAAACTTTCCCCCCCTTCTATTATCCCCTAAAGGTCCTCTTAAGACTGGTCCACACACACACACACACACACACACACACACACACACACACACAAATTACCTGCACAATCTGCTATGTTATTACCTTTTTGCTTTGTAGCTTGAGATACATTTGATCATCTGAAGTCAGTGTGTAACAAGATACATCCAAACTAGTAAATGGTAGGGTCTTATATTGGCCCTGAACTTGTACTAATCACCTTCTATTTCCTATAGCTGTACGGTTCTGTGACCGGTGCCATCTAATCAAGCCAGACCGCTGCCATCACTGTTCTGTCTGTGCTATGTAAGTGACAACTCTGCTTTCTCTGGACTGATGCTGGCCACTGATGGTTGCCTAGACAACAAAATGACTGATTCTAACATGTAACCATGCCTAGATAAGAGCATTTCTTTTGAGGCATAATGAACACATGCCAAACACTTTCACAGGGGTGATAATCATTCTAATCTAAAGATAGAAAACTAATACTGCATTTTCAAAAGAAACATTTCATTTTAAATGATTTCAGATTTATATGTTTATTATGAAGAGTTCTCATATGTCCAACACCCACTTTCCCCTAATATTAATATGTTCCATTAGTATGATACATTTGTAAAATTTTTTGCTTGTTTCTTTGTTTCATTTTTGTTTTTTATATTTTATTTAAATTAGAAACAAGCTTGCTTCACATGTCAATCCCAGCTCCCTCTCCCTCCTCTCCTCACCTGTACCCCACCTACCCCTCTGACCCCCACCCAACCCCTGCTCTGATCCCCAGGGAGGGTGAGGTCCTCCATGGGGGATCTCCAAAGTTTGTCATTTCATCCAGGGCAGGACCTAGATCCTCCCTTATGTGTCCAGGCTGAGAGAGCATCCCTCCATGTGGAACGGGCTCCCAAAGTCCCTTCGAATGCCAGGGATAGATACTAATCTACTACCCAAGGCCCCATACATTGCCGAGGCTTCCTCAATAAGACCCAAATTTAGGGGGTGTAGATCAGTCCCATGCTGGCCTCTCAGCCATCAATCTGGGGTCCATGAGCTCCCCCTTGTTCAGGTCAGCTGTTCCTGTGGGTTTCACCAGCCTGGTCTTGATTGCTTTGCTCATCACTCCTCCCTCTCTGCAACTGGGTTCCATGGGTTCAGTTCAGTGTTTAGCTGTGGGTGTCTGCCTCTGCTTCCATCAGCCACTGGATGAAGGCTCTAGGATGGCATACAAGGTAGTCATCATCCTCATTATCCGGGAAGGGGATTTAAGGAAGCCTCTCCACTATTGCTTAGATTGCCAGTTGGTGTCATTCTTGTAGATCTCTGGAACTCTCAGCAGTGCCAGATCTCTCCTCAAACCTATAATGACTCCCTCTATTAAGTTATCTCTCATCTTGCTCTCCTCTATTCTTCCCCTGACTCAACCTTCCTGCTCCCCCATGTCCTCCTCTCCCCTCCTCTTCTCCCTGTCTTTCTCCCAGTTCCCTCTGCCCTCCCCCCATTCTCCCAATCCGCTCAGGAGATCCTGTCTCTTTCCACTTCTCCCGGGTACCATGCATATCTCTCTTAGGGTGCTCCCTGTTTCCCAGAATCTCTGGTGATGGGATATATTTGTAAAATTAATAAACCAGTATTGGGACATTGTTTTTTATTGTATTCTATTGTAATATATAGCTTAGCTAAAAAATGAAATGTTCTATTAGTGAACCTCTATGTAATTTACAGCTTTTGCTATTCAAACCAATGCTATATGAATATCTTTGTCCAGATGGCATTTTGTATGCATGAGTATATCTGTTGATTGATTTATATATAATTTTAACTGGAATATACTTTTTAGATATCCTCACTTTTCCTGTAATATTCTTTTTCTGTTCCAAGATTCCATCGAGCATACCACATTACATTAAGTAGTCATGTCTCTGTAGGTTCTCTAATCCATGACAGTTTTTCAGACTTTACTTGGCTTTGATAACCTTTACAGTTTGGGGGGCTAAGAATCAGATGCTTTATAAATTGTTCTTTAGTTAAAATTTGTAGCCGGGCATTGGTGGCGCACACCTTTAATCCCAGCACTCGGGAGGCAGAGGCAGGTGGATCTCTGTGAGTTCGAGGCCAGACTGGTCTACAAGAGCTGGTTCCAGGACAGCCCCAAAGCCACAGAGAAACCCTGTCTCGAAAAACCAAAAAAATTTTTGTTTGCTCTTTTCTTCTGGTCATTATAATGTGGTGATGTGGAAGAAGACCACTGAGCTAAAGTTCTATTCTCATTACATGGTATCAAGGGTACATATAAACATGACTTTTGACTTCAGTGTTAATACTGAGTATCTCTCTCAACTGATGTTTGTCAGGTATGTCCAGTGTAAAATTATTCTGTCCTCCTCTCATTTCTGAACTATACTCTGTGGATGGAAGTCACTATACATAACTCCACACTAAAGTAATAGGAAGTTATGATTCCTCTCCTTGGAGGTAAATATATGCATAAATTATTTGGAATACATCTGCATAAGGAGATGGGTCCGTTCTTCCCCACCTATTTGTTTATTCAATCATTTGAATCAATACAGAGGTATAGATATTTATTTTCTATTTTGTGTTATTAAGAAACATTGTGTTCTATTTTGCCTCTCAAATTGTTCCAGGTTTATAAAAAAACATTTTTTGAGTTAGCATATATAATTTTATACCTTTGTTCCGGGTTGCCTATTCTGCCCATGTTTTACCTTTGATTCAAACACAGGCATATATTTCCCTCATATTATTATTAAACTAAGTAAACAAAACTAAAGATGGCATTTTGAATTTTTCACTGTATCAATAGTCTGGAGTTCCCTATCCCTTTCAAGATTGTACTTCTAGAGCTGTCACTTGCTGCAAGCTTAGTCCCAGAATATTGCTGTGACTTGATCATCCTGTGAGTAATTTAGGAGGCAATAATATTGGAGTTACCAGAGTGGAAGTCTGCAGATAGTTTTTCTAGAACTATGTAAAAATATTGCTAAATTATTGAGTTCAATTTTGAAGTATTTCTTCATCTCCATAGCCACATTTATCACTGTATTTTGTCCTCTTTGCAGGTGTGTTTTAAAAATGGACCATCATTGCCCATGGTATGTCCTTTTGATTCATTCCTATCCTCTAAAAGGGTCAAAGTTATTTAATATACCCACTTTCCTAAGCAGAGTTGTAACATGCCCATTTTTGCTGCCATAATTCACTGTACTTTGTACGTATGGAGGGAGGAATAGCATTTTAAAACAAGGGTGGAAATACCAGTAAAGGTATGGTAGTGAGTTCCTGAGGTCACAAATAGTCTCCTGTCCGTTAACTTTAGCAATTGAGCACAATAATGAAATACAGCACGGGTATTTCTCTTCTTCAACATCATGCAATTCGTTTCTGTTTCTAGATGACTTGATTTTGAAATGTTACAGATGGTTAAGTTCAGCGATTCTTCTATAAAAGTTGTGTGTCTGACCTAAAAAACTAATGTGGAATCACCTAATTACAAAGAGAGTGCATCAAAGTGTAGCTACTAAGACATCAACATGTTTTTAACAATGAAAAGCCACATTGGCTTGGGTGTTTCAGGAACCATTCTAAAGCTATTAGGTAGTTCAGGTGACTCTTCTGGTAAATAAAAAGAGAAGCAAGTGAGGTGTGAACTTGTTTTTCCAGTCTGTTTATATTAAGGAACCTCTGTCTCTGTTGGGTTTCTACACAACAAGTAATGAAGCAGCAGGAGTCATGTGCCTCCTTTGGTTAGTCCACTTAAGTATCAGTGTGTTCTCAGTCAATAGGTCCTGATTTCAAATTAGCGTTCTTTTCTTTTCTAGGGTCAATAACTGCATTGGATTTTCCAACTACAAATTCTTCCTTCAGTTCTTAGCTTATTCCGTTCTCTATTGCCTGTACATTGCTACAACCGTCTTCAGCTATTTCATCAAATACTGGAGAGTAAGTTTTTTAAAATTCAGATTGATCTCCTCCAAGGTAAATGCATAATTGCTCTAAGTGTTCCACTCCTCATTCTATATACTTTTGCATTTTGAAATACCTACTGGTGAAGTTAGCAGAAAGTAAAGCAGTAAAAACTGTTTTCTATATTGAATATTCTGAAGTTGAAGAAACAGTTGAGTAAAGATTCCATATTCTTGTTTAGTTTGTGTCATCTGTGACTATCTTGCTAATGCTCATGGAGAGTAACCTCTCTGCTGACCGACTCTGTAAAATCTATGTCTGTGGTTGAGTTTTTAGACCTTTCTTACTAGCTGTATATTTGAAAAAAATATTAAAACTAATTACAAATCACCAGTTTCTTTAAAAAAAGAAAAAAAGAGCCAACAGGAATTAGAAAATACTTAGTAATTTCATGTTCAAATGGGAGCTACAAAGTTTCTTCTGGGAAGAGAAACTGACTTCCACATAAGCGCAAAATAATACAGGGAGTATCTTGAACTTTGTGGGGAGTTTTTTTTTTACTTTTGTTTTAGGAGTCAGGGTTTCTCTGTGTAGTTCCTGGAACTTGCTCTGTAGACATGTGTGGTCTCAAACTCTGAGATCCCCCTGTCTCTGTCTCGAGTTTTGGGACTGACTAAAGGTATCTGACACCACACTCAGCCTCTCTTTTGAGAATGTATGACAAACAGTAGGTTGGAAACAGAGAGAAGTGAAGCTAATACTGGCTCTATTACTTGCTTCACTGTCTTATTGCTAAGATCCAGTGAAACAGATATTGATTCTAATAATTATTAAATCTCAAAAGCAAAAAGCAATTTGCTTTTAGCTTTCTCCTACTTGGAGATATCAGTCATATCCCATCTCTTTTTAAAAGTTAAAGTAGATTTAATATTTGCATATGTGTATAGGTAAAATATCATGAAATATGTCCTTTGTCAACTTCAGCCAGTTAGACTCTCAAAGAAATCCCTTTCTACACTATAGTACAGTAATTAAGGTGTTCACAGTGAGCATTTGAATCCAGACTGATTTGAATGGGAAAATATAAATGTGAGCAAAATTACCGGGTAATACTTTTAAAAAATTGTAACAGCCTTATATAACTGGGATATCACATCTTAGCTGGAGCAGTAAACCAGCAGGAAAAGAACATAAATCACACGGTCAGCATATAAATCATAATTAATTGGAGAAAAGAAAAAAGACAAGGCACTGAGGCTAAATAGGTAAGAATATTTAAATTAAGAATCAGTACTTTTATTCCTAATAGTGTAGAAAATTACACTTTCTATTCAACTTGCCTAATCAGATATTTAATAGCTGTAAGAATCAGGAGCCATACAGTGGATACCAAAATCTCTAATTCAAACAAACTACAAGCAGAAATGATGAGGTGTTCTCATGCATTTTTTTTCAAATAGGAAACATTTTACCAAGATACACATTTTGCTGTCTTTTCTTTGGCCCCTTTCCACAGCACGAGATCTATTCCCCATTCCTCAGGTTTCCATGGCCTATTTGGCACTCCATCTGCATGCTGAGCTCCTTCTATAAATATGAAGAAAATCTGCTACATCCAATCAGCAGGGAAGTGTGAGCTTTGATCTTTCTTACATACCTTTCTTGATCCTTAACACAGCGGGCTACCATTTAATCGTGACTCTTTACCTTTATCACAAAGTAAACAACATTGTATTTCACACATTTTGCCTTTAGCTCCCCTAGCCAGCCAATAATCAAATACTGAAATGCAAGCCAGGTACTGTATGCTTTCCTTCACTCTTAAAAGATGATAACTGAATATGAATTCATCACGAGAAATATGCCAGTAGTACAAGCAAATCCACGGTGAGAATGGCCTTGTTCTTTTCCTATTCCTTCACTGGTTTTCCTCCTCAATAGCCTAGCTTATGTCTGTCATCTGAGAAGGCATGAGGCCTGTCATAGCTTGTCCTTACACTGAAAAGGTCATTGACAATTGGAGAAATGATTCTTTGCTGTTGCTCTGACCATATTAGTATGGCTAAGGGATGGATGGCTTTCTGAATTTAAATTGAGCTTCTTTTTAAAATAGAAAATAAACACTGCCTATATATTTAAAGCCACATCAAAGAGACAAGCTGAGCTGTGCTCCCAAGAACAGCAACTTCTATTGTATGGTACTCTATGGTTCTTGGAGTATTTTTATGTCTATGATTTCATCTGATCCTCACTACAACTCTGTGAAGTATCCATAGCAAAAACTATTTGTCACATTCCAAGATGACAAAACTAAGGCTTACTGTAGTTAAGTGACCTGTCAAAGGTCACCTGGCTTGTAAATTTCGAAGGGAGAACTTGAACATAAGTCTGCCCATAAGCCTCTGTGATCTCACATGTACTATGCTTATGATGGCTCTTCTATAGAGAGACTTCAACTGTTTCAGAATAAAGGATTCCAAAGACCATCACATACACCATTTCTTTCCTTTCAGTAGTAAATTAAACAAATTCTACTCTCAACAGATAGATTAATCTTTGCCTTTTGCAAAATTAATAATGCACACCTACCATGCTAGGATTATTTTACAAATATTCCTCTGAACTGTCTCTGATGATCATTGCTCTGAGGGATTTAGCTTGGTTATCTCCTGGAAATGCAGTTTTGAATATAGGGTTGTTTTCACAAGAAAAGTTGATTTTGTGGACCCTATCAAAGTACAATACAGTGGATATTCTAAACCAGACAGACGAGTTCTGGAAGAGTTATGGGGATAGGCTGGGAGTATGGGAGTATAGCTACAAAAGATGTGAAGAAACTTCCTAACAACCTCACTTGCTCAGCCATTTCCTATTGCCCATTTTAATGTAAAAAGTAAAAACAATGTGAGCTTTAAGAACTTGAAATATATGCTCAGAAAGTAGAGATCATGAGACACAAAGTCCCAGTGAAGGTGAGGACTACCTAAGGTGAGAAATCTTACCTAAGAACAGAAGAAACAAAAACAAAAAATAGAAGAAAAAGATAAGCATGAATCAAACCAAGCATGAACCAAACCAATCCAGTTTGGGTGCTTAGGTCAATATTTTGTGGAAGGAGCATTTCAAGTTGGAAAGTCTCAGATAAAAGTTGAAGTTCTTGAGACAGTGATTTCCTGGACTGCTCTGCCCCTGTGCAGGCTTCACCCAGACTTCCCCCCCAGCTGAGACCATCTGCTGTGCTTCCCCTTATCTTCATACTGCAAACATATCCGACCTGGAAGAGGTCCAGCATTTCCTTCTGTAAACATGAATACAAATAGCCTTCAAGGAGAAAAAGAAATCTATGGTGTTTGAACTTAGCAAGTGTTGCCAAGCACTAACTTCTGTACTTCTGTAACTGGAGTAGAATAGGATCGTGCGGAAGTTAAGTCCCACTTCACTTAAGAATCACTTTAACTTTATCACTGTAGGGCATCTGGAAAGATCTCACGCCAATTCATCATGCCAAAACAATGGTCATTAAGGGAAAGGAGGAAATAAAGCCATAGTCAGTCCTCCAGATGTTCACACTGAATACAAAATGCTTTCCACGGTTCTTTTCTAAAGACAAAATGTCACATGTTATGCATGCTATAGAACTTTAGAACATTGATTCTACTTTAAAATAGCATATAAAAAGCTGGAGCCACATGGAAAATAAAGTGTCCCAGTTAATGATAGCAATCTTTAACTTCATACTTTTACAATTACCTGTAAAATCCTGCTTGATTTTTACTATACAAACAGCTACTCCACAGGATGTAGTATACTAGCACATTCTATGTCAGCTGTTGAAAAAACCATAAAATTTTCAATAGCTTTAAAATCAGGTCATGACTTCAGGTAAGATATTTTAGAATTCTGTGTTTTAACTTCTTATATTCATCACTCTAACATTTTCAACACACATACATGATGTACAAAGGATACTAGTATAAGGAGCTTGAGAAATGGCTCAGTAGTTAAGACTACTAACTGTCCTTGCAGAGGACCTAGGTTCAGTTCTCAGCTCCCAAATGGCTGCTCACAGCCATTTACAACTCGAATTCCAGAAGATCTGATGCCTTCTGATCTCTGTGGTCCCCGGACAAACATGTAGTACACAGACACACATGAAGGCAAAACACACACACACTACAACAAAAAAATTTAAAAATAGGTTTTTCTCCTATGAGGTTTTATTTAAAAAAATAAAAGAATTCTATTATAGCCACCTTCAGATAATATAGGATGAATAATTCACAATTCTCAAGCTAAATAGAATATGGGCTTCAAAGCAATTATGACCTGAGCATACATTCTTTTTTAATTGGTGCATTATATGTTGCACTTAAGCAAGAATTCATTTTAAACTTTGCAAGCTAAGAACATATCTCTAATAAGGCATGATGATCAACAATTTTGTTAAAATAAATAATAATCAGGACCTGAAAGTGGCTTGGCAGCCCCTGCAACCAAATATGATAACCTGAGTTCAATCCCTGGAATCTAGATAGTAGAGGGAGAGACGCAACTCCCACAAGTTGTCTTCTGACTTCCATGCCTATACACTTTACCATACACACACACACACACACACACACACACACTCACATGCACGCATGCACACACCCACAGAGAGAGAGAGAGAGAGCAAGTAAGTGCATATAATAAAATTTAAGCTTACAAAATCTGTTTTTAAATTTGAAGCTGTATTTTTACATGTGAAAAATTCTAATCTGTATAGAAAAAGTAGCTAAGCATTCCCACTTTAATGTTTTGTTTTCTTTGTTTATTTTTTCCTTTATAGGGGGAATTGCCCAGTGTTCGCTCTAAGTTCCATGTCCTCTTTCTCCTCTTTGTGGCCTGCATGTTTTTTGTCAGCCTTGTGATTCTCTTTGGTTACCATTGTTGGCTTGTCAGCAGAAACAAAACTACCTTAGGTAAGACTGAATATTAAGATTAGGAAAATGGATCTTAATGTGTATCACTGTGCCCTGTGACCTGTTTTTTAAGGAGCGAAAAACTAATAGTATTTTAGCTTTAGTGACACCCCTTTGCCTCCAAACTGAGACAGATGGAAATACATTTTACTAAACTGGACAGCAATAGTGAACAAAGCTTACAGACTACACAGAGCATCTGTGAATCACATCCCATAGAGAACCCAAAATGACTATAGTTCTTTATAGTGTATATTGGGCAATACATTCCCAAATTCACAAGTCTGACTTCTAAAAAGTATTCCAATGAAGAAATTAGTATCAGAAGGAAGACGTGAAACTAAATAACGACAATCTGATTGATGATGCATATCCCCAAACAGAGTCCTTAGAAAGTTTCCAAGTAAGTAACAGAAATGGATGCAAAAATCCAGGCCATCAAGATTTCTCAGCAGGTAAGGGTATTTGCCAGGAGCCGGGCAACCTGAGTTCAAGCTCTAAAACCCACATGATAGAAAGAGAGAATTGATTCCGACAAGTTATTCTCTGTCCTCCACACTCACACCGTGGCATGCACACACAGGTGTGTGAACATAAACACACCCAAAATAAATACATTTAAAATGTAAAATTGTTTTTATAAAGAATCAAATTGATATTTACAGTCAAAGGAGTATATAAAAGGACCATCCAAAGGAGATATGTGTATTAAGTCTGCATAAAATCAGTATACTAAATGAGTTAGTTTTTTCTCTTTTTTGCTGTCAATTAGTACTCTAAGCTTGTTACTATATGTAGAATGAAAGGATTCTAGTGCAATAATTACTTCATCTATGGTGAATATTTACATGGTCTGCAAGTCAGCACACAAGGAATAAGAAAAAGCATTCAAGTGTTAAACGCTTAACTAGGATGGATTAGATTTGAGAGGAATTTAGTGTAAAAGCCACTGCACTTTGAGAATTCATTTGCCAGGGAAGTCTTTGCACCCATTTTTCTAAATCAAATACATGTACAGCACTTAGTACTTAGGGTAGTAAATTAGCACATTTGGTTGAGAGATAGCTACAAAAGTAGAAAAGTACTAAAAGCTTCATGATAACAGGGTCTGAAAACAAAGGACAAATGGGAAATGGTGAGATGCAGCCAGAGCCCAACAGTGAAAGTGTTTGCTTAATGGGATAAATGTGTGTCTAAAAATAATGTGCACTAATGTGGCCCAATTCCTCATAGTCTTTGAGGTGATTACAGTTCACCCGTTGACATTTTGTCTGGAGTAAAACTAGGTTTTTTACATTGCAGGTTTCATTGTGAACATCTTCGTTTCTGAAATGTTTCAAAACCAAATCAATGTCATTACCATCTCTTTATGTGTCATTACTTTGGTCCCAGATCTACAGATAGACACCATTTGGCTGTTGTTGCCACTTGATTCAAATACAGTACATTTAAATCTATTCCTGCACTCCTTAAATTCAGCAGTCCAAATGCGTGCCCCTCTGGAATGCTGTATTATTTTTTGTCATTGTGTATTTACCCTGCCTTAAAAAGATAAGAGTACAAATTCCTTAATTTCAATAACAATTTTACCTTGTATTAAATAATCGAACTGAGTTTTACTAAGTAATTTAGCAATAATTAAGAATGTGAACCTATGCTAAAACAGCAAAAAGATATCATAAATCCTGGCCACATTTTTGGAGAGATGTAAAATCATCACAGTGATGAAATCTACTCTTTTATTTCTCTTCCTCTTTCCCAACTCTCCTGGACTATATTAGAGGCCTTTTGCACTCCAGTATTTACAAGTGGACCAGAGAAAAATGGGTTTAACCTCGGCTTCATCAAGAATATCCAGCAGGTATTTGGCGATAATAAGAAGTTCTGGTTAATACCTATTGGGCCCAGGTAGGTAATTATTATCACTGAGAGCAGCTATTGATGAGCCACGCAGTGAAGCAGCGAATTTATGCTTGAATGTTTTTGTTGAGAGTTTCAGACATTTTATAATGAAATTTGGTAATCTTCACACTCCATTCCCCTTTCTCATCCCTCCTCTCTCCTGCTGGATCCCTTCTTGTCAACAAGTCTTCTACTTTCCTATCTTCTTTTGTGTCTTTCACTTAAATTAGTGTTGATGTCATGCGCACAGGTGAGAGGCTATTTACTGAAGCAAGGATAAGTTTTCATTGACTACACTGATGAAGAAAACAACATTCCTTCCTCTAGCAACTGTTAATTACCAATAGTCCCACAGAGAGGAATAGGGCCTTATGGGTTCATCCCCTATCTATGATGAAGTGTTGATGGTTTTAATCTTGTGCAAGTCTTGTGTAGATAACAGTATCTTCGGTGAGTTCATGGGTGTAATGGCTGTGTCATGTCCAGAAGACAGTTTTTTATTACCTATTTCTCTACCTGCTGGCTCTGACCTTCCTTTGACCATTTCTTCCATGTTGGTCCCCGAGCCTTGGAGGGGAAATATAGCTACTTTAGTGCTGAGTATGCTGCCATCATTTATTCTCACCCTCTTGTCCAGTTATGGGTTTTTTCATTAACCACCTCCCATCTCAGAAGAAGCCTTTCTGATGAAGGCTGAGCATCCCCAATAGCAAATTAGACTCAATTACTTTTGAGACAAGGACTCACTATGTAGACCTGGTTGACCTGGACTCACTATGTAGACCAAACTGACCATGAACTTGTTTCAGTCCTCCTGATTCTTCCCCTTCACGGCAGACTTTTAAAGGCATGTGTCACCATACTCATCTGCAAATGCAGATTTGGTATCAGTCTAGTAGGTACAATATTCCCCAAGTTTCTCATTTCTGTATTTATAAAGACAAATCATGAAGTGGAGGTATGATCAAATAGACACTTTCCTGATTTGTTTGTGGAAAGGTAAACTGGTACCAAATTTTAATAAATTTGACAAAGCATATTAAAAACATAAGAATAAACATATCCTTTATCCCAGTGGCTATATTTCTTTGAATGTACCCTAAAGATGGAGCATAACCTACACTAAAAATGTTCTTCACAGTCTGGGCATGGTGGTTCATACCTGTAATTCCATCATTTGAAAGCTTGAGGACAGAGAATCGTGAATATCAATTCAGCCTTTGTTTACAGAGTGAGTTCCAGGACAGCCATGGTTACACAGAGAAACTCTGTCTCAAAAAAATCTTTTGTAGAGCTAGGCTTATATCCTTTGAGTGACTTTGTGACCCCAATGAAACTACCACAAGCTATAGGAGCTCTAGAGCAAAGAATGTCTTGACTTTTTTGTATCCTTTAGGTTCACTGCTCAAACATCAATATATTCGTATTTTCTTGTTGGAAAGAAGCTTTGCTGGAGTCAAGTAATAATGAAGGTTAAATTTTCTCCTCCCTTCCTTGCTGCATTAATACTTCCTTTATGCCAGTTAATGTTTTATAGGATTGTTTGTTTAAGGTGTGGTATAGTCAACTCTTCTAGCTATAAATATTAAGACAAAATTTGTCAATGGGTAATATAAATTATTAACTGATAGCAGAAATTAGATACATATACACTTATCACATACTGAGACACAAATATTCAAATTACATTACCACATCACTCTAGTATAAAAACAAAAACAAAACCCAAGGCCCATTCACTTACATAATCAGTATTCTAACATTTCTATAGAGCAATATGAATACAATTTGTAAACTTTTTCTTGAAAACATTGAAAAACAAGAGAAAAAGTTACACATGATATTAATTAAATAATCCAGAAGTCATTCAAAGTTAAATTCAGAATACACTCAGCTATATAGACTCAATTGCTGAAGCTGTAACAGTGTCTGGCTAGGGTCATGATTCCGGCCATGGCCTTCTATCAACAATGGCCAGAAATTAATCAGGGACATGCTCTAGATTACTGTAGAGATCCATAAAGTAAACTCACATGTAGGAAAATCGTTCCTAGAATCCAGCTACACTGCAGAGAGACCTTGCTGTTTCTCTTTCCAATTCTATGTTACAAGTTAAGTAACAGGCTACAAGAACATTCTCTCGCCCTTCACAGCAGCTTTTCCCACTATGTGTAGTGATTAGGAGTCTTCTCATTTCACTAGAAAACTTAGAATCAAAACAATTTGATAGTGGGATATAATTGGGACTATCATAGTTAAATGGTATTTATGAAACTGCATATGCATATTGCTATACCAGGCATTGTGAAAAGCAAGTTACAAAAATAGTCAGCATTGATACAGACAAACAAGACATGGAAATTGAGAGACATTGATTTGATAATAAGAGCTTATTTGAACATGAATTTAAACAAAAGAACTAAGAACCCCCAAGTTTTGTGGTATGCTTAGTGGTAGAAGATTTGACTAGAGAATGCTCAAAACAACACAACCCTAAATCTGTGATTATATCTCATTTCTAAGATTATTACTGTCTCAAAAGTTTATATTAAATGGACATGATGACACTCACCTATATACTAGCACCCAGGATACTGAAACAGTAGATTGCAAGTTCTGGACTAGCCTAGGCCACAAAATACGACCCTGTCTGAACTGGTGAGATGGTTCAGTGTGCTTGCCACGAAACCTAACAACCTGAATTCAATCCCCAGGATCCACGTGATGAAAGGAGAGAATCTGTTCCCATAAGTTGTCCTCCATATATGCACCCATACACATGCATACATATGCACATATTCTCTCTGTCCCTCTCTCTCCCTTCTTCACCCTCCCCTCTTCTGTGTGTGATTACATTTGAATAAAAAAAGAAAGTTTGTGTCAGTTGCATACTGGATATCTTTCTTTCCCACCAGCCCTGGCGACGGACACTCCTTCCCTATGAGATCTATGAATGAGTCACAGAACCCACTGCTGGCAAATGAAGAACCCTGGGAAGACAATGAGGATGACAATCGAGGTGAGTAGGCTCAGAAAAAAGCCTTTTCTCTGCATGGCAGACTCAACACAATATGATCCATGCTAATAGAGCCAATGTAGAGCCATGTGGTAGTACACACCTTTAATCCTAGCACTAAGGAGGCAAAGGTCAATCTGGTCTACAGAGTGAGTTCCAGGACAGCCACAGAGAAACCCTGTCTTGAAAAAACAACAACAACAACAAAAATGTCCAAAGAGGTTTTATGAGGATGACAACCTTATTAAGTGCCCTCTGGATGAAGGAGGACAAATATGGCCAGATTTGTTTAACAAATATGGGTGGCTAAGGTAGCTATGTTAAGCAATGTTCTCTAGAAGAAGAGAACCAATAAAAACATGAATATGTTATATATTATAGAAGGGAATTTACTAGAATGGCTTACATGATAGGGCCTGGGTAGTCCAACAATGGCCATCCATAAGATGGAGATGCAGTAGAATCCGGTAACTGCTCAGTTCACAAAGCCTCAGCAGTCCCAGTCTGGTGTGGGAGGCCTGAAGATTACTGCAGAGCCTCTAGTGTTGAGTCCACATGAGAAGATTGAAGAAGCAAGAGGCTGATGGTAGTAGCAGTGATAGATGTACTCACTCAGAAGGAAGAGAGTGTAACCATGTGACACTGTTAGACATCTCTGCATCCGGGGCACCCTTTCAGAAGGTGCCATCCACTTTGAGAGCAAGTCTTCCCTCCTCAGTCATCGTCCCAGACATACCCAGAAGTTGATTCCAAATCCCATCAAGTTGAAAAATAAGACCAACCAGTGGATCTGAAGAGAAAGCTCAGCAGATAAAGTACTTGTCATACAAGTATGGGAATTGGAAGTTCAGATCCCCAGATCCAGTAAAAAGGCAGGTAGGCTGGCACCTGTAATCCCAATGCAGGAGGCAGAGACAGGAAATATCTGGAGCAATTTGGCTAAAAAGTTTAGCAAAAACATTGAGGTCCAGGTTCAGTGAGAGATCCGAAGGACACCAATCATCAGTCTCAACCATGCACATAGGCATACACACCTGTACACACATGCACTCTCACAATGCATACACATGTGAATGCACATCATTCACACATATGCATCCAAAAAAAGAGCCAACCTTTACAGAAACGTTAGATGGTAGCTTAAGCAGTTCCTTACCAGCTTCATTAAATTATACCATGACTTACAACTCTACAATTTTTAAGTAGGGATTTTTTGAAGCTAATTTTCTAATTTTTTCCCCATTTTTCATACCAACCCCAGTTCCCCCTCCTTCCCCTTCTCTAACCCACCATCCCACCCCTGATCTACTTCCCAGACAGGATAAAACATTCCTTGGGGGAGTCAACAAAGTCTAGCATACCAGGTTGAGGCAGGATCAAGCCCCCCCCCCAGTATCAAGGCTGAGCAAGGTGTTCTGCCACAGGGAAAGGGTTTCAAAAAGCCAGTTCATGTAACCAGACTAAGTCCTGGTCTCATTACCAGGACCTCCCCCTCAACAGATCAAGCCACATAACTGTCACCCACATTCAGAGGACCTAGTTTGGTTCCATCCAGGTTCCCCAGCTGTCAGTCCATGGTCCATGAGCTATCACTAGCTCAGGTCAGCTGTCTCTGTGGTTTTCCCCATCATGGTCTTGAGCCCCCACCTTGCTCTTGATCCCTCCTCCCTCTCTTCAACTGAACTCCAGGAGCTCAGCCCAGTACTTGGCTGTGGGTCACTGCATCTGCTTCCATCAGTTACTGGATGTAGGTTCTATGATGACAATTAGGTTAGTCACTGACCTGATTAAAGGGGAAGGCCCATTCAGAAAACCTCTCCACTATTGCTAGGAGTCTTAGCTGGGGTCATCCTTGTGGATTCCTGAGAATTTCTCTAGCACCATGGACATTACTTTGGAGGGGATGGGGACATGGCTTAATTAGTAAAGTGCTTTCTACACAAGCATGAAAACCTGTATTCCAATCCTCAGCACCCACATAAAAAACGTTGTAGTGAGATATTCACCCCCTCACTTTGACTTTTTATTATGTGGATGTAGGTGTGTTTGCTATAGTGTTTGTATAGAAATCAGAAGATGGGGATTTGGTTCTTTTTCCACCTTTGCATGCGTTCCAGGATTAAACGCAGGTTGCCAAGTTTGCACAACAACTGCCTTTACCCACTAAACCATCTCCCCCACTCAAGATATTACTTTTTTGAAGCAGCCTCTAATTCTGGTCTTTTTCAAAAACACTTGGTCATAATTTTTATTTTATAAAATATTTTTATATTTTTCCATCCTTTGACTTCAATAATCATGTTTTGTATTCAGTAATATTTTATAATTAATGAAAGTGAGACTGGGAGATAGTAACTAACTCATCCACTGACTCATCACATAACATGAATCAGACAGTTCTTGGAAACAAATGAAGGTACCCTGATTCTAAATCCTGACCTTTTTTCGCAGTATGATGGTATGTATTCCTGTCTTTTGGAACAATAAATATTAGACGTGGTGTTGTGATTTAGTACCATCTTGTTATCTGAAGCATCCAACTGCTTCTAAAGTCAGAAAATACACCACAGACCACAAGTCTCTTTTAACTTTATCCAAAACACTACACCATCTTACATAAATGAGATCCCCTTCTTATATCTAACAACTTTATTATATAATGGTGCTTTTCTCTAACACAGGTTCTTAAGCTGAACCATTTGTTCAGTTGACTGTGTTATCCTCAGTCATACATGTCTTCTGTGTGTATGTGATCATATACAAATTGTTCATGTACTTATTTTTTTTGGTTTGCTTTTTTATTTTTTGAGACAGGGTTTCTCTGTGACTTTGGAGGCTGTCCTGGAACTAGCTCTTGTAGATCAGGCTGGTCTCAAACTCACAGAGATCCGCCTGTCTCTACCTCCCGTGCTGGCATTAAAGGCATGCACCACCAACGCCTGCCATTCATGTACTTTTTTAAAACAATGCTTTAATTAATCCATTGATTTCTTTTTTTCTTGTTTTATTTTCAAGACAAGGTTTCTCTGTGTAGCCCTGAATGTCCTGGAACTCACTGTGTAGAGTAGGCTAGCTTGGAATTCAGAGATCCTCCTGGCTCTACATCCCAAGTGCTGGGATTAAAGGCTTATGATGCCACCACCCAGAAAATTCTTTGATAATTTCATACAATATATTTTGAACATACTCACTCCCTAGTTCCATAACTGGCCTCTCTATCATCCTACCCCTTCACACCTAACTTTGAGTCCATGCTCTTTTAATAATTACATTCCCAAGAAAAGTGCTGTAAGTTAAAATTACATTTCAATTTCCTTTGGAAATTATGTTAGGATTAATTGCTAGCCAATAATAAAATACTTGCTATATATTCTGCATGTATTACTATCATAATATAAAATAGCCAAACGTGTATAAAATGATAAAATCTGGCAACAGCAGCTTGATGAATGAAAATGTGATGCTAAAACAAGGCAAAATTTATCTTCTTTTAAATCCCTACCCTAATTTAATACAGGAAAGTACTAGGTTGAAATAACACATTTATGAAATCAAAGCATTTAAGTAGGTTTCTCTGGAGAGGCTTTTTAAACTAAAGTATTTAATTAATGCACAGATACACAGAAGATGCACAAGTGAGTATGCACATCTATGTGATTTTCTGTAGAGATTATACAGGCATCATTTAAAAGGATTTTTGAGAAACTTAGAGTTGCATTTTAGCTTTTTGAGGAAGTGATCCAGAAATGTCTGTTGCCTTATTGCTTTTTCTCAGTAAAAATTTTCCTATAGGTTACATTAAAAAATTAGAGATGACAATAAAAGGCTTTGTACTAATCTATTCCAAATGGAACCATTTCCTCCAAATTGGATGGATGGCGTCTACAGCCTTGCCTACTGTAAGTGTCATGAATAATAAAGTAGGCATGATTGTCAAAGAGATGCTGAAATGCAAACTACTATAAGCCAGCATCAAGCTGCATGTAAAAATGATATTTTTAAAACTTCATGGCTTTCTCAGAGGAACTAAGTCTCACCTCTTATTATTTTTTGATAGAACTGATTTCTTAATATGTTTTATCTTTATGGCTGTGGTGCCTTTCTGAATGTTCTTTGTTCTTTTTTCATTTCAGCGGTTAACAAAGCCTGTGCCATTTTCCAACACTAGCCTTTTTCGCATTAGTAGCTGAACACTTTGATCACTAATGCTAGTTGGAGATGCAGCCTCTGTGGAAATTCAGAGAAAGTAGCTACAGTCAATATTCTGTAGATAGTGACGGTAACAGAGATGTTGGCAAAGACTTCAGCAGCAGAGCAATAGTTGTTTCCACCTGTGAAATGTGTTGCCTTTTTCTCACTGTAAGAAAATACAAGATAATCAAATTTTAAAGAGAACAGGTATACTGAAGGCTCCACTCAATGATCAGTTGGTCCTATTGCTTTAGACTGCTAACAAGGACGCCCATAATGATGGCTATCTGTCATTGAGAAATACCACTCCCTTCATAGCCTTGAAGCAAAATAAAGAGTACGGAACTGGGACCCACATATTCTCTCAAAGATATGCCCCCACCCAGTAACCTAAAAACTTCCCAATGGGCCTCAACTCTTTGAGATTCTGACACCTACCAGGAGTGCCACGCCATGGACCAAGACTTTTAGCATGTGAGCCTTGAGGGAACATTAAAAATTCAAACTATAACACAAAGGAATGAGTCACTTATTTATTTTATTTTTACTGTAAAATTGTGAGGTATACCATACCATGTTTTTGCATACATACATGCAGTGAAGTGGTGACTGCAGCCTACTTCATCTCAAAACTGTTGTACTGCATATTCTAGTAGTCCACATGCTGCCCTTTCAATCTCCACACTGCTCTCTATAATGGCCACTGTGTACTTTGGCTTATACCTCTTCATGCCATCTCACATTCTGCTGCCTCAGGTAACTACTGTTCTATTATGTTGGCATATATTAAATTTTTCTTCCTATCAGAGAGA